GACTTCTAAAAATTTCAAGCAATCAAATTTTCTAAAATCTCAAAAAAGTTTTTAAAACATTCAGAATAAATACTCCGTATATTATAATTGAACGAGAGTGCAGTTTTGTTGAATGACATCCCCTATATCACCTATAAATACTCCGTATATTATAATTGAAGATTCTTATGGCAAAATTTGAATCCCATTTTTTTCGTATCATATTTTTTTTACCAAAACTTAAATCATATCTTTTTTGGTAACAAATTTGAGATTCTTATGCAAAAAATGTGTCAATTATTTATGAAAACAATTCTAAATACAAATCAATTTAAACACCGTGCAAATTGGATACAAATTTACGAAACAAATAGTTGTATAATTTCTAACCAATTCTTCCAATATTAATGAATAATTTGTTCTTTCTAAATTGGTTAAAACCACGTGCATTTTTTATTTTAAAATAAAATTGATATTTAGACGGGATGTACATTCAAAATTGTGCCCACATTTTTTGGTAACAAAAGCAGTTCATCTTTTAAAATAATTAATTGCACACCATATTTAGAAAGTTTTAGATATTTTAAATCATAAAATATGGTAACATTAAATGCTCCTAAAATGGGTTTTGTTGAATTCATTTTTGAAATTTCGACAGATATTAAAGTGAATATGGAATTCAAAATCTCTTCTCATTTTATTTTTAATAAAATTTGCATCCAAATTTACGTGTGATTTTGAAGTGAAAATTTAAAATTCAAAATCTCTTCTCATTTTAGTTACAACAAAATCGGACTGCATTAAACACTTGGACCAATTTAAAAATTATTCCTTAAATGAAGGAATTTATAGATAATTGTTATCTCTACTCAATCACATGATTATTTTCAATATAAAAAGAGACATATTACAAATTAGTGAATCATATATTACCTAATTCAATATCTTAACATTAAAGAATAAATCCATAGTATTATGTAAATCCATATCTCATATTATTATATTATTAAGAATATATTATAGTTATATTATCAAATCTTTTAAAGATATTAAATCCATATTGTAAAAAAAATAATTCATATAATTTTATAACAATTCTACTACACTATTTAACAATATTCATTTTTATTATATAATATTTTTATTAAATATTATATACTGAATAACAAGAAGTAAAACTGTTACTTTCTCTTATATCAAGGGATAAATTTATATGCTAAAATTAAATTTTTATTAGTATAAATATTTTAGTGAGATAATATATTAATTACAAGCTAGCCTTAACATGCTCATATTTAATGTTCTTGCTAAAAAAAATAACGTTGGTTAAAAGATAGGGAAAAAAAACTTATAATAACCCTATTGTTTTTTAGATTTAACGTTGATTAAAAGAGGTAGAAAATAAATAATAACCCTATTATTTTTTTGGCTTAAACGGACAAGGGTGTGAAAATAACTCATTTAATATCTTTGTCCCGTGCATCGCACGGGGTACGTACTAGTTAGCCTAACAAATACATATATTTAATTTTAAACAATTGTTGTTATAATTATTCAGTTTTAAAAATAATTTTTTTAATAACAAATACTGCCTTTTATTCTTTCTAAATGTTATTTTGGCTCTATCAACCATTAACCAAATAAATGACGTTATGAATTTTTTGTACATATTTTTTCATTATCTCTCATTTAGCTTATAAATACACTAAGTCTTTTCATATTCACTCTTCATTTTTTCTCAGAGCATCTATCTCTATCTTAATAAATGAGGGTTAATATTGGCAAAAAAAAAAAAGAAAAATTAATTATTATGCAACTTTTTAAAACAACATTTATTGAAGAGGAAGGAGTAAATAATTAATATGAATGTCGGACAAGGAAATAATTGTACTAGGAAAATGTAATTTTGTACGTGCAGTTTACGCACTCAATTTTTAATAACGTTAATTAATGCCGCCACACGGAGTCACTCAATCACACAAAATATCAATTTAGTACCTAACCCTGCATTGATTGCAAATTAAACACTCCTCTGTTTGGAGTGTGAGGAAAAATAAAAAGCTAGAAAGTCTTGTTATTTGGCCTGTCATAATTTTTTTACTAAATATATATATTTTCAAATTGTAATATAAATAAAATTAAGATATATTATAGCATAAATTTTCATTTCTATTAACAAAATATAACAAATCGACTAGCATAACTTGCATAACAGTTAGTAAAACTCATACAAAAAATAGTGTTAGTATAATATAATCAATCATTTGATTTTATAGTCAAGTAGCAAATGCAAAGGTAAACATAGCAACTTTTTGTGAAAATATGAAATTATAATCATTTTTTTCCTGTGAAATTATATAATTATCCTTACTATCAAAAACCGTTCTTGAAAATTTGGGATCCCACAAATTGTAATAGGAGTAATTGTGTCATTTCACATGACAAATTGACTATTATTTCATACTTCCATAAAAAGTGATTATTTTTTAATTTTAAAAAATAATATATAACTAATATATAATGTGGTCTACGTCACGACAAAAAGTGAAGCCTAAAGGCTAAAACCACAAGCCCATAACCATCATTTTATCCTTGCTATAGATCTTGGAAAAGGTCAAAGACCCTATCAATTTGGACTATTTTATTTTCTGATTCTATGACAAACGTAAATCTCTTGGATGCTTTAGGACAATTGTGGGTATCTATTATCTAATCCACCATTTTTCTTTTAATTTTCCTTTTCACTTTCAATTTCTTTCTTTTCTTTAATCTCCTTTTTTTCCATCACAGATTAGACAAATGCAAAAACCCCACAAAGAAAACTTCATTTCATTTTAAGCATCCAATGTTGCCTTTTTAAGCTTTACTTTACACACCCAACTTTCGTCTCTTTTGAGGCGAAACTAGTTTTTTTATTTTTTGGTATGTCAATCAAATTGTCCTCTCATTTTTTGTCACCAATATTGAAAACAGAAGCCAACAGTAATATTTTCTTAGAAATCGAGACAACATTGTTTGTTGAAATAAACCAAATTTTATCAACTTGGGGTTTGAATTTTCGAATATACTGATATTTAAACAATGTTGAAGTTTTCTATAAAAACTAGTAGTTTTGTGCGTGATCAGTTTTTTAAACTCAGGTTGTTAGATATTTTTGCTGTCACTTAGTTTTATTTTCTCTTGATTTTGTTATTTAATATTTTCATTTATTTTTTTATTTTTTTGGATAGTGGGAGTTGATCTGGGTCATGAATCATATTGTTAATCTCCAATTAGTGTGACTTGATACCATTGTTTATTTTTCTCAAAGTCTCGAATTCCCCAAGCTTTTCATTTACACCTTTTTCACTTTCGCTTTTCTGTTGACCTCAAATTTCTAAAACTTTTTTTTCGCTAGTCTTGCTCTACTTGTATTTTCATTTATTTTAAGACACTGACATTTATCAATTCACCAAAAATACATTGCAGTTTAAGAAAAATTCAGGTATCTCGAGAACTGGAAGTATCTTTAGGTTGCAAATTCCCTTTCCACAGCACATTTTACATGTCAGAAAATTATGTGGAAGTACTTTATTAATTATAAGTAACTATTTTTTTCTTCATTTTTGCAACCATACAAACCGTTAGTGTACGGTACTTCACGCAATTGTAAATTAAATCCCAACATTTTTTTGTTTGAATTTAATCCGAATCTTTTAATTTTAGCAATAAAAGGTAGGAGATTTTATTTTTTACGAATCGATATACATTCAACCGACCGACTGCCATATACTTACATTACATATATGGCTAGGTGGAAAAAGGAAAACGGTACTTCAAATATTATAAAATAAGAACAAAATGCACCCCATCTTACATAAAAATTGAGGATACAAATGTATAATCTCAAAACTAGTTTTTTTTTTTAATATGATTAATTTTAAAATATATAGTATAATTAGTCGTTAAGAAGATTTTGAGTTTATATTAAAATAATATTTGAAATAAAATAATTAAAGTTAATTTGATGTAAAAATATGAAAAATATAACGTGAAGTGATGATTAGTTAAAATTACCTGAGTTTGTGAATAGTGAATTAAAATTGATGTGATGTATAAAAATAATTGGTTGATAATATTTAATAAATTTGAAGATAGTGAAGTTGAGTTAAAATTAAATTAAAAAAAAATAATTGAGTTAAAGATAATTGGTTTTTTTGAATTGGATCTATATCCAATCACACCCTATGTTAATGAGTTTCTATTACAATTTACAAGTCAGCACCCTACAAAACAATACAAAAAGATGACATTATACTACATGCATTACCTAAACTCATATCCACATTACTTAAATCAAAATTCAGGGAACAACACATTACACATTAATATAGGATTTATGTAGGCTTGTAGCATACTAGCAACATGTAAAACACTACTATATATAATTTGCAGTAAGAGACAACATCACAAAAAGCTCAAGGGACACTCACCAACTCCCACCCATACAAACACAACAACAGTAAGGAATGTAAGCTTGTATATGTATAGCCCATCTCATAAATCTTTTCTTTACGGTTTTACTTTTCACACAAATTTGTTTTTCATCAATAAAATTCTCTACTTTGCCAGCCATCATTTTTGCTCCTTCTGTAGCTTTGCGTGCCATCTTCAACACTTCTAAAAGATGAGAGCTTTTAAGAAAGAAAGCCTCATTACAGTCAGAAGAACCGCTTTTCCTTAAACACCCATTTCCACTCGAGCACATGTTGGGATTTTCAGAACTAGCGTAAAAAAGGGTTAAGAAAATATGATGCAATACAACTGGGGGTTTGACCGAATCGAGGTTTTTTGAGGACCCATTTTGGTATTCTTGCTTTTTACATCGGAAAAATTCAATCTTGGTGCTTGTTTTATACAGCGGTAGTTATTTTGGTTTTTCTTGGTTCTTGCTAGTTTCTGTTTAGTTTTTTTTTTCCTTGTATTTTTAATGGTTAAGTTGAGTTGTTATGGTCTTGTTGTGTTGTGTCTGATTTGCAGAGATGGGTTTTGAAGGGTTTAGCAGAAGTAAGTGGCCTGGCCTGGTTACACATAAGCGTTCAAAAAGGTACTCTGTTTATGTAATTTTCTGATTTTTGTAATTTTAAGTATTTTTTGATCTGATAAAATTGGAATGATTTAGGTTTATTACGAGGTTAATCGACTTCGGTGGTTATAGCTATGTTTTTATCCTGGGGACCTAAAGAAAATTTAACCTTATTTTTATCTGTGTGAACTATGTATGCTTTCAAGAAGTTTGCACTTTGCATTTTTTTTTAACGTTCTTTACAAATCTTTGAGGAATTTTGATTGGAAAATGAATTAGAGGAAGAAATATGAATGTGTAGGAATGTGGAATTTTGAATCTGGAGTTCTTGTGGTTCTGTATCAAACTATTACCTTTCAGATAGAGTTATCCGATTTTGTTAGAAACCATGGTTGTTTACTAGGAGATGAATGTCAACGAGCTTGTCACGAGTAAAAGCTTATTTTAGCTGATAAGTACATTTTGATGAGTTTGAGGCTACCTTTCTTAGTTGATTTGTTGCAATGACAGCTTCCCGGAGAGAGTACCTGAAGAAAATAACTCGGTTAATTCAACTGAAGCACCTTATCCACAGAAATCGGTGAGAATGCTTGTACTTTACCTTTTTTATTTTTTCTCTTTTGATAAGAGTGGCATCTGTTAATTCAATCCGAAAGAGCTTTGATGACAATTTATCGAGTTCCTTTCACCCCAGGAGACGGGCCGATTAAATGTCTGTACCAACAGCAAGAAGAAACAATCATTGAATGCTCAGGTTGAAAATTCATTGAGGCAAGAGGTATTTGGATGAATGTAGATTTTAACAAAACTCCTTCGATGTCCTAATTTAAGCCCATATCAATCATATAAACTGGATTATTCTTTCTCAAGAAGTTAGGATGAGAGCTTTAGCATAATTTTACAGTTACAACTTTATTTTTGCCACTTTTGCAGATATCAACGCTCGAAAAAAGATTGCAGGATCAAGTCTCTGTTCGTTGTGCTCTGGAAAAGGCACTCGGTTATAAAAATTCCTCACATGATATTACAGATGAAGCCACCATCCCTAAGGTTTTTAGTTTAGCTTGCACATTGTTATTATCTGCAATATTCAACAACAAAAAAAAAAAAGAAAATAATAATAATAATAATAATAACTTAAATTTCTTGTTTGGGACCTTGGGTTTAATAGAAGGCTTACTAATGTCTATTTCCAGTCGGCCACAGAACTCATTCGAGAAATTTCCATATTGGAGCTAGAAGTCGGGCATTTGGAACAGTACCTTCTTTCTCTTTACAGAAAGGCATTTGATCAACAAATTTCATCTCTATCTCCGAAAAATAAGAATGAAGAATTCAAATATCCTTCAACAACGACACCTAGAAGAAGGCGACTCGATTTCTCAAAGTCGGACATGAAGCCATCGAGGGAAATTTCTTCTAAATCCAAAGCTCAAACATTCTCCGATTCAACGAGGGAAAATGGTGGTGATGTGCTTGGAGAGAAGTTTCTAGAACATTCGAGTGTCCAACGGTCTCATTCAACATTATCACAAGCATATCGAGCCTCTCCGCCAGAAGATGACCTCGGCAAGGCTGTTCGTGGTTGTCAGTCTCAACCGTTATCCATGATAGAGGTTTTTTCATTACATGCACAAAGTAAAGCTTGCATTTTTACATTTTCCTGATATGGGTTTGTTCAAAATACATGGTTTTGCGGGTGTTTGCTAAAAGAACATACAATACAACTACTCCTTATATTTAGCACAATTGCAAAAATTTCCAGTCATAATTCACATCATCTTTTTTTGCTCTTACAGTTTGCTCAAAACTCATCTTCACACGTAATAAGCTTAGCCGAGCATCTCGGAACCCGCATCTCGGACCATATTGTCGAGACGCCAAACAAGCTTTCGGAGGATATGGTGAGGTGCATGTGCACCATCTATTGTAAGCTTGCGGACCCACCTTTGACCAATCAAATCCTCTCTTCCCCAACTTCTTCCCTGTCTTCTACAAGTGCATTCTCCCCGAAAGAACAATGTGACATGTGGGGCCCGGGTTTCAGAATAGATTCTTCCTTTGATGTTAGACTAGATAACCCTTTCCATGTGGAGGGGTTAAAGGACTTCAGTGGGCCGTATAGCTCGATGGTTGAAGTAAACAGTATATACAGAGATAGCCAGAAATTGGGTGATGTTGAGCACTTGTTACAAAATTTTAGGTAATTGCCAAAAAAAGAAAAGATATATATACGAAAAAGAATTCACTTTATGTAATGCTGGTACATTGCTTTGGGTTTTGCAGGTCTTTTGTGGGACGATTGGCGGAGATTGAGCTTAGAAAGATGACGCATGAGGAAAAGTTGGCTTTTTGGATCAATGTTCATAATTCATTGGTGATGCATGTAAGATAATGTTCGTGCAATTTGATGCTATCAATTGTTCTCGATTATGACTGGNTCTTGTTTCTGTTCATTCAGTCTGCCTACAGTGTCGGTGGTCAAATAGTAAGCGCTGATGTCATACAGAGTTCGATATTGTGTTGCCGAATGTCTCGTCCTGGACAGGTACAAATAGGAATGCAACTTTGGTGGACTTTTTTTTTCAGTCATTATCTGTTAAATAAATACATTTGCTAATTATATTTGCTGTCTGTCTATAGTGGCTAAGGGTGCTACTTCCTTCAAAATCGAAACTAAAAGCTGGTGACGAACGGCAAGCATTTGGAATCGAAAGACCTGAGCCCCTTCTTCACTTTGCGCTCTCATGCGGGTCCCACTCTGATCCTGCGGTAATTATTAATAAAATTTCATACAATGAATAGTTGAATTTGAATACCCCTGAAGTTCAACTAATTACGAAATGCAAAAATAAAAAACTCGAGCTAAATACGACAAATGCCGCGTTTCAAGTTAGCATATAGTTAGCTGACGTAACTAACGAAAAATTATGACAAACATTGGAATTTTCAGGTTCGAATTTTCACGCCTAAGAAGATATACCAAGAGCTGGAGGCAGCCAAAGAGGATTACGTTCGGGCCACGTTTGGGGTGCGGAGGGACAACAAAATCCTTCTCCCGAAAATCGTGGACTCGTTCGCCAAGGACTCGGGACTATGCCAAGCTGGCATTCTGGAGATGATCAAACAGTCCTCCTTGCCCGAGTCACTGAAGAAAAGCGTCAGGAAGTGCCAACTGGCGAAGAACAAGAAAAACATCGATTGGGTCCCACATAATTTCGCGTTCAGGTACATTATAATGAAGGACCTCGTCAGGTGAATTCTTTTTTTTTCTTCATTTTTCTGATGTAGGACTATTTCTTTTTTTTTTTTTTAGTTGCATAGTTTCTTTCTCTTGATTGTGTAAAGGAATTGTATTTTTGAGCTGGGAATGGTAGATGGGTTTGACATGTAAGTTTGTGACATTGGGCTCTGATTATGTAATATGTTGAGAAGAAGTATTGATTTCTTCCCAAGCTCAGTGTAAAGTTTCTTTCTGGAGATGATTATGGAAATGTATCTTTTGAAGTTTGATTACATATGTTTTGTGATAAAATATCCATACATATGTATAATATAAACTAAATTTCAAGAACATTGTCTATACCTAATCAAAATTATAGTGAGGAAGTTGGAAGTGTATAGACAAAACACTTTCAATTATGGATAAAGTCCTCATCGACAAGCAATCGAAACTAACAATCACTGGTAATAACAAATTTCAGGCTGACTCGAGGAGCTCATGAGGTTTCTTTGAAACCTTAAATGAAATAATACAAGTCTCTGCATATCCGGCGGCCTCGCAAAAGAATTTGTGATCGTGATTATAATTCATACCAACGCCAAAAGGCACAAAGATGCAGTTATGAAAACTCCAATCACAAACACAATAAGTAGCATTTTATTTTTATTAACCAAAACTGGTAGCAGCAGCAGCAACAGATTAACAATCACAGAGAAACAGAACAAGGGCAATTTAGTAAACTCGCATTATTATCACACCCAAACACACACACGAATCGAATCAAATCAAATCAAATCGCCCCCCTCAGTAAGGCTTCTCGCCGACGACGTTCCCCGGCGGGTCGTAGAAGCAGATGGTGAGGCTCGACCGCTCCTTGGCGCACGCCGCCTGCGCGCAGCCCACCTCCGCCGACGCCCTCCACACCACCTGCGTGTAGGTCCCGCACCGGCGCCCGGGCTCGCACGTGCTGTTCGCGTAGTTGTAGTACCTCTTCTCCGCCACCCAAACCCCCACGGCGGCCGCCGGCGACACCTCCGCCCCGCTGGACCACAGCTGATTTCCTCCGTACCGGCTGTGGGTCAGGTCGGCGAAGGTGCAGTTCCGGCGGTCCCTCTGGAGCCTCGCCGTGAGGCTGGCGGATTTGGCGAGCGCCGGGCTCCACCGGAGGGGAACCACGCCGACCTCGGATCTGGCACGGTTGTGGGCTTCTAGGTATTCCTGGGAGTGGTCGCCGGCCGCCGGCGTTGGCGGCTGGGTGGGTGGTTGTTGGGCGGAACATCGGGAAGTGAGTAGGAATAGAGCAGTAAATGCTGAGAGGATATGTACTGACATTTTTCTTTTCTTAATAATATCCACGTTTCAATTATGAGAGGGTGTGTGGGGATGAGATATTATATATAACCGAGTCTTTATGGAGTCGAGTTGAGTCGGGCTTAAATTGTTAATCAAACAAACTCGATTTGTTCACCAAACAAGATGAAGCGAATTTAGGACTTGTTTCGTTTATTAACTCTAGTTCTCATATAGTTTAGATGTGATTAGAAATGACTTTTTCTTTTAATTGGATTTAATTTATCAATAAAGTAAGTTAAAATTGAAAAAAATTGATTGTATGAAATTTGGATTTGATTTTGAGTTTGTCAATGAATATAAGTTTAAATGTAATGATTAAAGTTACAATGACATAAAAGTATTCGAATATGATTGTAAATAGTTCATAGTTATAAATAAGTGAATGAATGAATAGTGAAATTTATGGGAAATTGTGTAGCATTGATTATTGATTTTACCTAATTGTATTTCTAACTAATCAATAATGTTAAGGAGCCAACTGAGCTCCACATGGAATTGTCCCATTGGCTGTTGACTTCGTAACGGAGCCAATTAGCTCCCTAACATTACTGTCTAACTAATATTGAGAAGAGTTAGAGTTAGATGAAAATTGAATTTTTAATAAAAATCCGTATCTAATCTAATTGTAGATCTGTAAAAAACAATTATCCGGCACACATACAAAATTGGTTTCCAATGGCACCTAATTTTTCTATTTCAGGCCAAATTGAGCACAATGTATTAATACGTAATTAATTGGCAGTATACTGGAATTGGAGTTGGTGATTATTTTTCCATAAATTATTGTTTAAGACGTCTAACATTAAATAGTCCTGACTCTGTCATATTTTTTTATATGTGTAATTATATTATAAAATATTAAGTTTACTTATATTATTTTCAAATTATTATAAAATATTAAGTTTACTTATATTATATTTTAAATTATGATATTTAAATTTAAAATATATATATATATATATATATGTTCCAACGACCGTCCCACGGCATACAAAAGCAAAGCGGGTAGCCACATACTCGGCTCCTCACTTGCGAGTCAATAGTCTAATAGGCAAACCACAAGTTGGTTGCTCTCAAAAACGTCCCTAAGGAAAAGCAAAAGCTAGCAATGCACTAATCAATCTTCGGCCAAGTGATGGAGCCTAGCATATTCCAAGGGCTCTTCTTTCCATTTCCGCAAGCACATTCGGGTACAAGGAGAAAAGGGTGCGATATACATGTGTTTGAATCTTGCGAATGACATGTCTCGGAGTCTGAATCTCATCTTCGAATATCAGTCTATTGCGAGCGTTCCAAATGAAATATACCGTTGCTGCTAGGGATGCTTTCTTCATTTTGGATTGCCAGCCCGCCCCTCGGCCTTCTCTCTTTGTCCATTTTAGCGCGCCTTTCAGGGTGAATGGCCTATGACGCAGCCCTGTCCAGTTCTGGATCTCTGCCCAAATTTGTGAACTGAATTGGCAGGCAAAGAACAGATGGTCCACTGATTCCATGGCCCCGCTACATAAGCTGCAAATCGGGTCCTTGTCCCTGAATCCCAATCGATCCTTGGTGCGGAGTCGATTGAGCTCTCCAAGCCACAGAATAAATGAATGTTTGGGCGTGTTGCACGACCCCCAGACAACACTCTTCCAAGGGACAATGTTGCTCCTCGGTCTAAGAAATTCGTAGCATGCGCGCGTCCCTTCCTCACGGCCTCCGTTGCCCCATTTCTGGAGGAGCGCAGCTGCAGCTCGCGCGTTCCCTGATTTTGTGATCAGTGCATTTCGGATCTCAAAAAGGTTCTTGAAAATGGGAGCGTCTCTGGCATGTAGCGTCCAATCCCAAATACTGTTGCCCTTAAGATAGACCTGGTTGATCCACTTGTACCAAAGCGTGTCCTTTTTTGCCTGAATATTCCATAGCGTGCGTGCAAGCAATGCTTCATTCCAGGTTTTCATGTCGCGGAGTCCCACCCCCCCTCAATTCGCGGTAGACATAATTTGTCCCAGGCTACGCTCGCGCTGCGAGAGCCCCAAAGGAACTGCCTGCAAAGCTGAGTGATTTTTGTGCGAATAAGAGTAGGCAACTGAAAGATGCCCATCCAAAAGCACTCTATCCCCTGGATTACCGAGCGTATGAGCTCAGCGCGGCCAGCATATGATAGCGTGTGCGCGTTCCAACCTTTTAGCTGGTTCTCAATGTCCTTGACTAAGGGATTAAAAAGTTTCACAGTAACACGCTCGGCTGTGAGGGGAACTCCGAGGTATCGAAAAGGCATGGGTCCAATTGTCAAGTGCGTGGCCTGAAGTATTGAAACTCGGTTTCCATTGTCCACGCCGGCCAAGTAAATGTCTGATTTTTGGATGTTCATCTCAAGCCCAGATTTTGCCCCAAAGTCTTTTAGACTGTTTACAAGAATATCGATGGACATAGGGTCACCTCGGGAAAGAAGTATAAGGTCGTCTGTGAAGGCCAAATGCGTAATGTTGAGCTCTTTACACATCGGGTGGAAATTAAAATTTGTGCCTTCGGCTGTGTTACTCTTTATCAGCCTCGAGAGATACTCAATGCAGATGACAAATAGGTAGGGTGAAAGGGGATCCCCTTGCCTAAGGCCTCGCTCTCCTTTGAAATTCCCCTTTACATTCCCATTAATTGATATTGAATAAGTTGGGGTAGTTACGCATTCCATTATCAACTTCACAAAGGTCCTAGGGAAGCCTAGACCATCGAGAACCTGTTTCAAGAAGGACCAAGAAACTGTATCAAAAGCCTTGCGCAAATCAATTTTTATCGTGCACTTGGGGGAAATCCGTTTCCTCATATAATGCCGGAGAAGCTGCTGCATAATATGAATATTGTCTGACATGTGTCGCCCCTTGACAAATGCTGCCTGCGCCTTATCAATGATGGAGTCCAGGGCCTCGCTTATTCTTCCCGCAAGGATTTTTGAACAAATTTTATATAGCCTGTTGCAGCAAGCGATTGGTCTATAGTCTGTGACCGAGGATGAGTGAGCGGCCTTGGGCACAAGGGTAAGAGCTGTATGGTTCCATTACTTGAGTAATCTGCCCGAATGGAAAAATTCTTTTATTGCCACTGTCACGTCCCTCCCAACAATGTCCCAACTCTTCAAGAAAAAGGCGGACGTGTAACCGTCTGGGCCTGGTGATTTGTCCCCGGCTATGTCCTTAAGGACACCTTTGATGTCGTCTTCACTTATTGGAGCAATAAGCATATTTCGATGGTCTTCAGAAAGGCGTGCCCCAGAATTAATGATGTGGGGGTCCAAGTCCTCGGTGTCCAGGCGCGTCCCTATAAGCTGCTTATAGTAGCACACAAACTCATTCCCCACTTCCTCTAAAGAGGTGGTAGGTGACCCGTTTTCTCGAACGATTGATGGGATAAAGTTACGCTTAGCTCGCTTCTTGACCACGGCATGAAAAAATTTTGTGCACTTGTCGCTCTTAACTTGAAAATTGCATTTTGCCTTCTGTTGGTAGAAAAGTTTTTCAGCATTGGCCAGATTGAGGGCTTGAAGCCGAAGGGTTGGCAATCTGGACTTGGTTTCAGTATCGTCAGTTGGTCATGAAGAACCTGCTGGGCATTCTTGAGTTCTGATTTAGCTGCCTTGGCCCGAACTGAAATGTGGGAAAATGATTCCTCATTGAGGACCTTCAACTTGCTCTTCAAAGTTTTCAACTTAGAGCTCAATTGGAATTGCTTTGTGCCGAAGATACGGTCCCTCCAGATTTCTTTCACATATGGCAGAAAATTTTCATGGTTCGTCCACATGTTGAAAAATCTCCACGGTGTCCCGGTTGTGTTCCTTGGCTCAAAAACAGAAACAATGCAAGGGGAATGATCAGATATCCTCGGGGGCAGGAATTGTGCACAAGTATAGAGATTACCTTGCTCCCAAACGCTGTCCATCATTGCTCTGTCTAGCTTGGACCAAACCCGTCCATTGGTCCAAGTATGGTAGAATCCACTTGAGGGAATGTCGGTTAGACTCAAGCAGGTGCAAAGTTCGGCAAGATCTAAGGTGTCCCTGTTATTGACCCGTTCCCCATGAATTCTTTCCTCCGCCTTGAGGATTGAGTTAAAGTCACCAAGGAGTAGCCAAGGAAGAGTATTTCTCACTTGGGATGCCTTTAGAGATTGCCAAAGGAGCTTACGTTCCCCTCTTGAGTGGAGGCCATAAATAAACGTAACCGCAAAAAGGTGTTGGCTAACCTTACAGTGGAGCGTAGAAAAAATAGCTTGTGGCGTGATGTCGTGAACTGTGAGATCCACTTTCGTAGGATTCCATAGGATTGCTATACGCCCGCGGTCATGAACTCCAAAATTATCGCAAAATGTCCAACCTGATAGCCACCTGTTCACAAAGTGCAAGAGCCGTCTATTATCAGTCTTTGTCTCCAAAAGTCCCAAAACATCTAAGTTATTCGAACGAATGAGGCCCACGACCTCATCCTGTTTTAGGGGCGAATTAAAGCCCCTAATGTTCCATGTTGCAATGATCATTGATTAGAGGAGGGGCCGGACCCCTTCTTCAATGTATCGCCTTTTATCGGTTCCTTCCTCATATGAACGATATCCTTCATCTTCATTGAAGCTATCTTCAGTCCCGGCTGGCTCAAGATATTTGGTTGATTGGCAGATTTCTTTTTCTTGCTAACAAGTTGAAAGGCCTGCTCATCAGCTTCATTATCCTGTCCAAGGTCCTGCATGTTTTCCCCTCTCGGATTGTTGGTGCCCTTGACTTCTTTGCCCACGGTGTCGAGGCATTGAATTTGCTCCTGTTCCGTCTCCTTAACAGGATCCTTGGTCGGCTTAGCTCTTTTACCCTCGACTTTGGAATGCTGCTGGAACTCTTGGTTTGTTCCCTTATCAAGGGACTTGTCTGTAGCACTTTTACCCTCGGCTTTGGAGTGCTGCAAGATCTCTTGGTTTGTTCCCTTATCTAGGGACATGTCTCCATCTTCTTTGAGCGGCAAACTGTGCTCCGTGGTCTTTTTGGCATGATTAGAGGACTTAGGTTGTTCAACATCGCCCCTTGATTGTTGATGCTGCCCCTTAGTTGCTTTTGTGGAGCCCTTGGGTTTCTCCTTAGACTCATTCGGAAAAATGTGGCACTTTGATACAGGGTGGCCTATATGATTACATCGGTTGCAATAGTGAGGCACATATTCATAGGCCACGTCTTGGACAAAGGATGAACCATTGGGCGTTTCCACTTGAACAGCGTACTCGCGATCCTTAGAGACATCAATCTCTATGAGTACCCTTGCGTAGCTACATCTTTCTTTGGTTTCGGTAAGCTTGTCACTGGTAATTGGCTTGCCGATTCCTGAAGCTATTTTGCCTATGGCCTTCTCGTTCCAACATTCAAGTGGCAAGTATGGCAAATTGATCCACAGCGGCACCATTTTGATGTCGTCATCACCAAATCGAAACCATTCAGGTAGCATTTTGAGGAGAAGGCAGCGCCCATATATTGAATAAGGTCCACCATGAAGGACGCTTGCTCGATCCTCCTCGGATGAGAACTTGAACATTATCCAACCGTTAACATCCGGGATGTATTCGTACGGCAGTTTCCATGAGTTGCAAATTTTAAGTAAGGCCTCTTTACCCGGATGTTTGTGGGTGAAGTACCCCACCAGGCAGTACCCCCAGGTTATCTTAACATCGTCAATATCATCAAACTCAAGCTTGACAACTCCTTTTTGCGGGGGAGTGTATGCAAGCTTAAGACCGTTTGTTGGCTTCCGATTGTTGGCAAACAACTCATTAAAGGGGCGCTTAAGAGCAGTTGACTTCGTCTTTGGGTTGTTAACCGTCTCTTCGAGGGCAGAGATATGCTTAATATTAGCCTCTGGATGTGTAAAGGAGCCTGATTGGTTTGCCTCCTTGACAGGGTTGTTAGAGCTGCTGCCTTTATTGTTGCACCCGTGATATGTTGCTCCCAAATCAGTCGACATTTTTTTATTTATATTCGAGTCCCAAAAATAATGGATATTACCGTCACTTTAAAAGCATTGCGAATTACGGTATGATCATGATTCTCAAATAATAAACAAGACAAGACAAGAAGACAAGAATGTTTGATAAGTAGCAAGAATTTGAAGCTCAAGCATTGTCGTTTTATATTAATTAATAAATTTACAGCTCGAGTTAAGTCGAGCTTAATACCTTGCCAATATTACTTATCCATCCTGCCTGAGACATGTTGTTACAGACCTGAGATTGAGCTGGACCCTGCCGCATTCCCTTATGTTTGCCAAGGATCAAGAAACCGAGCACTTGTGCGCGGTGTGGGATAAGGGAACAAGGACATCAACATGGGAAAGGTACCGGGCTAGCTTGGCCTGGATACTGAGTTGTAGGGCCAAGTTAATGTAGACTGAGCACGGGATCAGTTGAGTCTTTGCTGGTTGTGCATGGCCATGCAAAGATATGTGGGCAATGGTGCGAGGCGGTACGGCGCCTTTGCACGCAAGGTAGACCAAGGTTGACTCTAACTACGCGGGTTCTATTCGGTGTATCTTGATGGGCGCGCGAGTGTAGGGGCAATGTCCAAACTGTTGGCGGGAACGGTTAAGAATTTGAATGCGCATGTTAGTTGCACGTGGACAAGCTGTTATAATGTCCCACGTGGCGTAGGCGCATATTCTTTCAATGGTGCATGGCTGAATGGATCAAGCGAGCGACACGTGTCCAAAACGGTTACATGAGACACGTGGCGAATGTTGCTTAAAGACCCGAGCGTTCAATCAGTTGAGCGAACGTGTGTTGATGAGTTAGTTTCGGATAAGGGCAGTTGAGAAACTGTCCGACGGTTACTTTTGTACTAACGATTGGGTATGTCAACCGCTCTTTGCCTACGGGTCTATATATAGACCATGAGATGCACGCACGCAGGTAGAGAGCGATACCGCGTGAGTTTGTGTGCATGCCTTGGTTAATTTTCCAACTTAGTGAAATATAGTTGGTTGGGCGCGGAGCCCGTAAATAGTGTTGTCTTATTTACTTGATGCATGATCATGTTGGTGTATTGCTTGCTTGCTGTTTGCTGAACACTAATCCGACTTTGTATTTTCAAGTTGTGCGTTTAGTGTAAGGGTGAAAGGCTGACTGATTCAGGGGGAAACCAGGCCGTTTGGTGCTAAAACTTAACCCTGTGACAAGTGGTATCAGAGCCCATGTTGAGTTCTGTACGGTGCAAATCGAGAAACTATGGGTGATCATGTTCGACGTGAAGAACTCGTACTGTCCTATGGAGCATGGATTCAAAGATTGGAAGACATGGTGGGGCCTCCGTCTCAGACACCGTTGCAAGCAACAAATTTCGAGAAATTACGAACAACGAACGATATCTCGATAGTCTGCGCGCGATGGTGGAAGCATTGAAAAATTCGGTAGACTCTTTACTCGAATTTGTTGAATGAAGGATTGATTCTGTCAATGACGAAGTAAACCTGCTGTATGATGCGGTGCGTGATAAGATTGACAAGGTCAATGATGATATAGTGTTGCTGAAACATGTTGGCGCAAATGTTCTCAATGAACAACGCCAAGGTCCACCAAAAGTCCGTGTACCTGATCCAAAACCGTTTGACGGGTCTCGTGATGCAAAGGAAGTGGAAAATTTCCTTTGGGATATGGAAACTTACTTCCAGGCTGCCGGAGTCCCACACGATCAGAAAGTTTCAATAGCGAGCATGTTTTTGGCTGGGGATGCAAAACTTTGGTGGCGGGCTAGGGTGTTTGATGATGCCAGTGCCAATCGCGAGGGAATCAATACATGATACACATTGGAGGGTCTGTTAAAAGATCAGTTTCTCGTGGGTAACACAGATTGAATTGCCTGTAACACGCTGCATAACCTACGGCATACGGGTGTTGTACGTGATTATGTGACGGAATTCACTTCTATCATGTTTGATATCTTTGAAATATCGGAGAAGGACAAACTGTTCAACTTTATGACCAGTCATCAAGGCTGGGCCCAGACAGAGTTGCGAAGGCAATGTGGGAGCGACCTTCCATCGGCTAATGCTGCGGTTGAACAACTCGTTGATTTCAAAGTCGTTGGCGGACCTGAGTCGGGTCATAAGAAAAAGGACTCGACAAAAGAGAAAGGTGGGAAATTTAAAAATCACAAAGATGGTGGATAGTACAAGAAGAAGGCGAGTGAGAGGAAGGAAAACAACTCTCGAGAGTCCAAGAATCAAACCTTGGTTGTGGACCGATCTAACCGCAGTTTCTTCATGTGCGATGGTGACCACCGGATGTGCGATTGTCCCAAACGTTTGAATGCCAAAGCAAATTCCCTAGTGATGGCTTGATGTATACCAAGGTGGCCATAGGGAACAAAGATATTACGGCCTTGGTTGACTCGGGTGCTACCCACAACTTTGTGAATGAGGAGTATACCCGTAAGCTGTGCCTTACTATCGAGCCTCATGAGGGAAAGATGAAAACGGTGAATGCTCAAGGTGAACCGATCAAGGGCGTGGCCCAAGTCGAGATGCAAGTTGGGCCTTGGCAAGGATTGTGTGCGTTGCACATCGTCTTGATGATTTTGCGATGATTCTTGGAATGGACTTCATGAAGAAGGCGAAAGTCTTCCCAAAACCCTAAGAAGGCAAATTATTGTTGGATGATGATGGGAGAGAGCAAGCTCTCGCCGGCAAGTTTGTTGTTCCAAAGAAAGATACTAGCATGGTGTCGGCCTTGAAAGTCCGCAATGGACTAAGGCATGGCCACACAACGTACCTTGCGGCTTTGACAAACCAGACGTATTCCATAAAATACCGGATGCTATTGGTGAATTGCTTGATGAATTCAAGGATACGATGCCCCCTGAGTTGCCTAAGGAATTGCCTCCGCGTCGACCTTGCGACCATCAGATTGAACTGGAACCGGGTTCTCAACCTCCTGCACAACCTCCTTATCGGATGTTACCAGCCGAGCTGGCCGAATTGAGAAAACAGTTGGATGAGTTACTTGGTGCTGGGTTGATAGAGCCTTCAAAAGCCCCTTATGGTTCTCCGGTCCTATTTCAACAGAAGCAAGATGGATCGATGCGTATGTGCGTTGATTATCGGGCATTTAACAAAGTCACCATCAAGAACAAGTATCAAATTCCAAATGCCTTGGACCTGTTTGACAAGTTCAAGCAAGATGGTACACGAAAATTGATCTACGTTCTGGCTACTGGCAGGTGCGAATTGCTACGGGGGACGAGGTAAAGACCACTTGCGTGACAAGGTACGGGTCGTTTGAATTCTTGGTGAACCCCTTCGGGTTAACCAATGCCCCTGCTACGTTCTGCATTCTGATGAATGATGTGTTGTATGAGTACTTTGAAAAATTTGTGGTGGTATACTTGGATGACATTGTGATCTATTCTGAGACGGTTGATGAGCATGTCAAGCACTTGCGATGTGTGCTTAATAAGTTGAGGGAAACAAGTTGTATGCTAAGAATGAGAAATGCGAATTCTTTCGGGAGAAAATCACCTTCCTTGGGCACATCATCAGCCAAGGAAGTATTCGTATGGACCCTAAAAAGGTGCGGGCTGTTGCTGATTGGCCTGAACCGACCAAAGTGACCGAGTTGCGCTCCTTCTTGGGTTTGGCTAATTACTATCGAAGATTCATAAAATGATATTCGAAGCTAGTCAGCCCATTGACGGACTTACTTAAGGACAGGTGTTGGGAGTGGGACAAAGCTCAATAAAATGCCTTTGATTTGCTGAAGCAAGCTGTGACCAAGGAGCCGATACAGAAATTGGCAAAGTTCGACAAACCATTCGAGGTACAAGTTGATGCTTCAGATCGTGCTATTGGTGGGGTGTTGGTCCAAGACAAACATTCTATTGCCTTTGGAAATGTGGTGTCACTTCCTGTTGGGAATAAGATTCACGGTTGTTACGGACAATGTACCCAATACTTATTTTCGAACT